TAAATGTATAAAAAAGGAGATTTGATTGTAAATAAAAAGGACAACTATGAGTTCCTTTAAAGGAGTATAGCCAGTTACCTCATTAAACGGCCTTGTAAAGGTGCAATTTCATAACTTCAATTATTTGAGTAAATTTAATAGATATAAGAAGATGTGGTATGAGTGCCAATGAGACAACTCTCCATCCAAGTCAAAATTTATAAAAGTAAACCATTATAGGTCACAGTACGGTCTTCAACACGGAGCCTTGGCTCACACCGAACAGTAAGCTATAAAGGGCCCCAAAAAATTACTAGTGTAAAACCATTCAAACGAGAAAACCAACGGTCTAATCTATATAAAAAACGAGAAACGAGAAACACTTATGAACCACATCAACAAACGACAACTACTGAACATCAGATTCCTGACTTAGGACAGGTGCAAACAAATGCAGCGGGTTTAAACGTTTTAATGGTACCAAACCTTCACCCTTTTTCTGAAACAATAGTGTAACATCACAACATAGAAAGACACACTATAAAATATCAACTGAAATAGCTTAACTCAATCAAAGGACATATTAACACCAATGAACATACACTGAACAAATAAATTTGACCTATGACACAATGTAAATACAAAATAAATAAACTAAGGGAAGAATAATAAAAGTAACATGTTATATCGGTAAGAAATGTTAAACAATTAAAGAAAAACAATATGCTCGAACAAAAATACCATCCATTTGCAATAACTTTAAACACAGGTAAATGAAAATAATTTTGTTGTTAGGTATACCTGTACAGTACCAATAGAGAAAAGAAATATTAATGTCTGTATTTTGAAAGTATAATAAGAAAAATTGTATATCTGCTTTATATATTATAAATATATTATCCTGAAATAGGAATATGTTTTAGTCTATTTTTCTTGAAATGCGTCACGTTTTTCGACCTTTTTCATGATTTCACATCACGGTGGCGCCATCCCTCACCCAATGGTGGTTGAAAAGAAAATAATATGGTATATAAAGAATATTTCTCAAGAAAAAAACTATTTGTATTTATCAACTGCATATAAACGTCGTGGTAACCAATACTGGTTTTAATACAACGGGGTGAAGGCGCCATCGATCTATTGACGATTTGAGAGAGCATATGTACAGCTATTTACGCTTGTTGCGCCCACAACAGTGTCTTCTAGATGGTTTCAGCCTATTATTGTGGACATAAAGAATGAATTTGAACGATGTTTGTGTTTTACTTGTGGGAATATCAAACACTTTGAATTGTTCCTCACTTGTTTTTTGACAATGTTTGATGAATGAAAGTTATCAAACATTTTAGCTGTGATGGTTTTCCAAGGTCTTGATAATCTGAAACAATCGTCTGGATCAATGGAAGGAACAAGCCCCAAACCAGCCTGAGGGTAGGAATGCCCTTTACCGTCAGGCGTCAAACGGTTATTTGCGGATACCGTTACAGTAGCGTCAAATTTGTTAAAATTTTATCGTGATTCGTCAAAATATTTTTATCGTGATTCGTATGAGATCTCAGAAAAATCTGTTACCGTTATTTGTGGAAAGAAGTTAACGTGATTCGTCAAAATCAGTTGATCTTTTTTATCGTCATAAAGAAAATGTACATTTAATCGATCGTCATGCACCAAAAATTACCGTTAAAGTCATTTGGCAAGATTTTCTACCGTTATTCGTTATGAAGGTACCCCCATTACGACCCTCCAACCTTGTACAAAAATATAAGCTTTTGGATTGTACGTCTATATTGTAGTTCTTGGAGTTCTGGTTTGGAAAGCATGTTCTTTTAAACTGAATTTTACTGTCCGTTTTGCTGTGTGTTTGTTAATTCCACATTGGCTAGATGTGTAGAGGGAGGGTTGAGATCTCACAAAACATGTTTAACCCCGCCACATTTTTGCGTCTGTACTAAGTCAGGAAACCCTAGTCTTTGTTAGTCTTGTGTGGTTCTTAAATTTTGGGTCATTTGAATGTTTCAAAGTTTAGTGTAGCGTCCATTTAGCTGAGCTAAATTACATTATTGTATAGGGGTCAGCTGAAGCCCGCCTCTGGGTCCGGGATTTTCTCGCTGCGTTGAAGAACCATTGGTGGCCTTGGGCTGGTTTCTGTTCTTTGGTCGGGTTGAGGTCTCTTTGACACATTCCACGTTTCCATTTTCTCTATTGTTAAGCATCTATCTTCCCTTGTTTTGCAATCGCCTGGTAGGAACATTGACACGTATGGTTGTATTCTTTCTATCTTGTTGGTATCTGCTACACTGTAGATGTCCCATACTATTCCATCGTAGAGCGTACTAGTGAAATGTATGCATTTTTCGTACATTTCTGAGGGTATTACCTTGTAATGTTCCTTCTGAGAAAACCTACGGTTGAATTTGCCTTTTTTGCTACATTTTTATATGTGGATCCACTTCGTGTTCGTCTCCCTTTTTAAATACACATTACTCGAGATATTTGCATTGAGCCATTCTTCCTGTAATATTCCAGTATCTATTGATGTTTGAAAGAAATTGCAATTAACCTGGTGCTATTTCTGCCGCACGTTCTAACAGTATTCTATTTGGTATACCGTCTGGCTCAGATGTTTAGGATGAATTCACAATTTTGAGTAGTTTTGCAAGTCCTTGTGTTGTTATGCTTAGTTTATGTATGGATTCTTTGAAGTATTTTGTTGTTTTGGGTATTGATGTTGATTGATCAATTGTGAAGACAGATCTAAATTGTTGAAATAATATTCCCTTATGCTGTCACTGGTCAGTTTTTTTTTTTCTTTTCTTTACTGGTGATACTCCAATATTAATTGTTTTCCTTGATTTGATGTACTTCCAGAATGGCTTGGTGTTGTTTGTTTCAATGCCCTAGCTAGCTTTGATGATAGTATCATTGATGTACGAGTATTCTGCCTTCCTGACTTTTTTTTAACTTTTTTTGGAACTGTCTATAATTTGTCCACTTTTTATAGATATAAGAAGATGTGGTATGAGTGCCAATGAGACAACTCTCCATCCAAATCAAAATTTATAAATATAAACCATTATAGGTCACAGTACGGTCTTCAACACGGAGCCTTGGCTCACACTGAACAGTAAGCTATAAAGGGCCCCAAAAATATTACTAGTGTAAAACCATTTTAGTACGTTTAGCTTGTTGGTATAGCCTTTGTTTCCTTTTGAACAGCTTCCTTATTTTGTGACTTATCCACGGTATGTTGTTCTTGGAGCGGATTTCTGTAGATAGTATCATGTTGTGTTTATGCTTTGAAAATGTTCATTCTAGAGAGTGTCACTCATTTCTTGTACATTTATTCCTTTGTTTGCATCCGTCTGATTTTCATTGATTTTATAGTAATCTCTTCTTTTATGATGCTCCAGTTTGCCTTCGAGTAGATATAACATTTCCTTTGTTTGCTACGTTGGTAGTATGGTTTTCCCTAGAAAAAGTAATAATTTAAAGTGTCATCAAAAAGTTTGCCAATTTATACAAAAATATTGTTTTTTTAAACAAAAACCATCTATAATTATAACGTCACAAATACGGTGAACTTTGAAAATATTCTTGAACTGAAAAATTGGACATTATTTTATGAACGCATGTTTCCATGAATAACTTGTGACTTGTCTTACTATTTGAAAAAGACAGGAATTCCTGAAATTATTATGGTCAATTGATAGTTTTTTTCATATCAAATTACAGTAATATTTTATTACAATTGTAGCTAGAAGTGGCAGGTGGGTTTGTTCCAGCTTGTCGGTATTTTGAAACTAGGCCGGTAATTACTGTACTTGATATATTCAATTCATGTGGTTTTATTGCTGGTTTTGATTGCTGGTTTTGACTCTTATTTGTTTATTTTTCCCCCAATTGTTCATTAAATCATTTTAATCTTTGTACATACATTTAATGTAATTATTCAGCTCAGCTTTGCAGGCGATGCGGTTAGCTATAAAACACTATTCCATTCTATTCCATCAAATTTTTGCAACATTATTGCTGTTAAATTTTTTAGACTTTTAGGTCCAAACTGATTATGAATTAATTAGTGAACAAAAAAAATTAGACTCCTTTGCCATTGATCAATTACAAGTCATCGTACGCCTTTAACCATAAACACATTTGCTTGTTCATTTATTCGTGTTTGATTGTTGTTGTTGTTGTTGTTTGATATATTGGTTGCATGCAGTACCAAGTGGTACCAAGGATTGTCACGACTGCCTGGTCTGATATCTATTACTTCTTGTCACGTGGATTTGTTGGTTTAGACATGGGGAGATTCATATGCATATGATTCTTAAGCACTGTCCCCTGGTGTCTCCTCCAGCTCAGCGAACAATTTATCAAAATGGTTGCCTCCCATTGCGTCACACTGCCGCAAACATCCTTATTTCAGAGAACTCAACATTTAAAATCATCTCAGTTATATTGTTTTTGTCATTACCGCCACACCGGTAATATTGTATTCTTGTACTGTATTGTTTAACTGAATTATGATTGTATCTTTGCCATATTGCCCCCTGACGGACCTTAATTGGAATAAACACATATTGTATTGTATTGTATATATTTGTAGCTCTAAAATGTCGTAATTTATTTTGGATTCTAATTTCTTTGAATGGTATTTAGCGTTACATGAAGCGGACATAAGCTTAGTATACTCGATTACCAGAAGCTGGACAGGTGTTTTTTTTCTCTATATGAGAAGCGAATCGCTCGGCTAGCTAATCTTAACTATTAAGGTTACCTGGAACATAATATATATTAGTATAATAGTCCAAGAGGTTACCGTCCAAACTAGAGGTTATAAAAAACTATTAAAGTTGTAAATTTGTTAATCAATTTATATTGAAGACAGACTTGTAAAAAATAGTGTACAATGGTTTGACATAGGTCTTAACCACTAGACCACGAACTCACACTAATAGAGGAGGGATTTACAGAAGGTAACAAGTGCGGGATTGACTTCCATGTTTCCTGATTACCCTCAAATTGCGCATGTGCAACTAAAGAACAGGAAGTTCCATGAACACAATTTACGAAAAATGCAAATAACTGTGACAACACTGTCAGATCAAATTTTCACGCTAGACGTGAGCGATGATTTAGAATTAGAGAATTTTAAAGCATTGTGTGAATTTGAAATCGGCATACCTGCTAAGGAAATTGCCATAACATGGAACGGAAAACCCATTCAAGAGGATAAACGCTCCCTGTCAAGTTATGGGATAAAACATGGGGACATGTTACTCCTTCAACATAATAGAGGTGCCCAAGGTTTACAACAGTCTATGCCTAGGCAAGGAGGTAATCAAAATTAAAGTAACAGGGCATGAAGATTTTTTTTTTCAAAATCATTTACCTAAGTAAATGAAAGTAAAAAGAAAAAAATACACTTTCCTTTTGAAAAGCAAATCTAACAGTAACACTCTTGTTGAATGTGGGTTGGTGGTCTAGTGGTTTAGACTGATGGCTACAGTGCTGAAGGACCTGGGTTCGAACCTGACTCAGGGCGTTGGAAATTTCAGTACATTAGAAGGGTGATTTTCACCCTCCCACACACATCTATGGTACATGTGGTACCCAGACCGGAGTTTAAACCAGAATGGGTACTTTGGGGGCCTCGGTTGGTCAAAGTGGCCCCCGACTTTGACCAGGAGATCAATGTTTAGATATCTCTTTGGTTTGTCTCTTCCTGCCGAGTTGCCTGGTGGTTCTCTCTGAGTACTTCGACTTCCTCCACCATAATAACAGACTTCCCGCTGTCCTAGCTCTCCTGTGGTGTTGGGTTGGGGATTTGTCTGTGGTGGTGGGTTGTACATATGACAGTGACACATCTCCATTCATCCTGTTAGGGAGTGTACATGGATACCACTGTACCCTCGCAGCTTTCAGGGGGAGCTCCGAATAACGGAGGTATCAACCAGTACATACATGTACAGTATGGCACAAATAGAACAGGCAGTCAGGGGTTATACAATCCACTAGCACTACACCCGGGACTAGAACATTTACACCTCTGGCAATCAAAACTTGTACATGTAATCCAAAATGCCTGTCAGACAAAAAAAAAATCTTGGAGTTACCAAAATAGAAATTGAAAAATTCCCTCCTTACTATTTTTATCCAAGCAGATCAGATTTCAGGAATTTGAACAGATTTTGTACATGTTTTGAAAATAGAATGAACATGATGAATAACTGGGTGGACGATATCATATATTGATTGCAAATAATCCCATACTTTCAGTTATGATTTCTTATACTTACTAGTCCGAATAAAATTTTACTAATCGGGGGCATCAGTCGTGATTAATTTGTACTACTTAAATAGGTGATTATCAGTGATCTGGAAGGATTTTTATGCCCCCACCGCTACGGTGGGGGCATTTAGTTTTACCCTTGTCCGTATGTACCTACGTCCGTCCGTACGTCCCAAAATTGGTTTCCGTTCTCTAACTTGAGTTTGCCTCAACCAAATGTTATGAAACTTATACACAATGCTTATTACATCAAAACACAGATCAAGTTTGAATTTTGGTGGCGTCACTTTAACCGTTCTAGAGTTATGCCCCTTTATTTCTCTATGGGCCATGGGCCCCCCAAAAATAAATTCAATGGGCCATTTTTAGAATTAATGGGCCATGTTGTCAAATGAGTGGGCCATTCGTTTACAATAAAAAAAAATAAAAAAAGTGTATATTTCACTGTACTTACAAGTATGATTCTAATTAATATCATGGATATTGTTCCTGTGATTTTGTAATTTCAATTTCAATGAATATACAATAACTTCTTCCAAACCGGGCAATATTTACGATAACCTTTATTTACAATGTTAAAACTGGTACTGTTCCCTTGTTCATGTTCATGTTTTTTTTTACATTAAATTTAGGTCTTGTCGATACCATACTTATTTCAGACGTTCCGTATTAGAGGACGTTTCTGGCATTTCCTCTGCACTTGTATTATTATTACTTCATCACGATGACAAGAATAACAGTAGAGAGCAATGTTAATTGATAAGACACAACAACAATTCGCTGAAGGCATGTTTACAAAATGTCAAAACGAGCCAAAGACCAAAAAAATTGACAAGGACAGTTAAGCCCCTTTTATGGAGACAAATACTATGCTATTCATAAAAAGGCTTTTGGATTTTTCAATCGAAATAATGGCAAGCTTACTTAAAAGATTATAATTAGAGAAGAATTCTCACCTGTACTAGCCAATTTTCACAAATTTAAAGTTGTTTATTAAAAATTATATCATGAATGATGGTTAATTACGTTTTTTGGGTAATCAGTCATACCGCATGTTGCTATTATTACCATAGGAAAACACCTGAGAAGTCCCAAAAATATATAGGTGCTCCTATCATTGGAGTAAACACTACACAGTTGTGTACTCACACATGGCGGCACGAAATACGATCGGAAATCCATTTGACGATATCTCAACGTTTCAAAACGAAGTGAAAAATATCATGCACCACGCGGGCGCTTACATTTGTCACTCTATGCGCCATTTCTGGTCGATAAGCGCAATTGGCGCAAGGTGCACATCCTTCCCGATCACTGGATTATTAAAGAAAGACAACTCTTACTTCCAACCTTTATGGACATAATGTTACTTGAATCAGTGATTTAGAAAATCACTCATTTAAGTAAGTCCCCTGACTGTTACATGCTCTGATCATTATTTCCTTCAATAAATTAAAATACATTGTGATTATTATAAAGCATGGTTATTGATATATGTCTGAGCAAAGGCTTTGAAGTGATGTAGAGAAGCTGTAATAACACCCTTTAGTTATTACAGGCATATTTTTTTCTGTAATAACATAGATGTACTATGTGTAACAGGGTCGTATCTTGGATTAAGAAATAACTAACTCTGTTCTAGGGTTCGGATGATTTAATACCAGTAATAGAAAATAAACTCTGAAATAACAATATCACAATCATAAATAACAGTTCTATTTTATAAAACCCAATTATCTTAAATTACACATTATCAGATATTGTAATAGTAAAATACAATGCTCATAATTACTGTGTACTATACTACGGATTAATATTATCTATATTCAGTAAGATGATGTCACGTGTACTTTTATTTCACATTGTTTTTTTTTAACTTTTATTTCTCATTGTGATACACTACTACACAAGAATGTAACCCTTAATCATAAATAGTGTATTATATAATGTTTACTGGTAAACTATGTGTACGGTACAAACCTAAAGTTAAAAATGCATAAATAACATTAAACTAATCGGAACATTGGATATTATTTTTTCTTTACATACAATCACATTACAACAATCATTAAGTTGTTAATACTATTTTTATAAAGACTAATTAAGCCAATATATTAAATATGCTTAAAATCGCATATTTAAAGGGAAATAATCCATAACGTTCTGTTTACAACATTACATAATTAAAATAGATTGACTCTTACCACTTGTGGAGTGAGTTTTACTGGTAAGGAGTAGGCACAGCTCATAAGCAATACTCTGTATATAACTACATCAATGGAGTCCTCAAACCAAAATGTAATCATAAACATTCGGACTCATGAAATATTAAAATATACAATATGACAAAATAACTCAAGTTCATTCATAGTTATACTTCTATCATTACAGTGTATAATATAAGTGTACTAATAAATATCAACATTAACACTTTTCCTTATTTGTTTAATACATGTATGCCGCCATTTATGAAATATCAATTATCTGTGTCAATAACCAAATAGCTGCGCAAATTATCTTGTTCTATATTCTATCTTGACAAATTAACAGTAGATAATAAAATATATGTAGCACGAAGCTAAATAAAATATTCTCGGGTACATCTATCATACTAATGTAATAACCAATCTTTACGAGAAGAACGAAGTCATACAATAGAAACTTTGCTGAATTTATCATTTACATGTGAAAATATTAATTATATAATAAAGAATATAACTTACATTAATCAGATATATGTTGTGTCCACAATGAATGAAAATAATAATATACAGGTGATATAACTCGGGACACACAATATCATGTGGCTGTCATTTCAAGTTCCCGTTCAAATCTACCTGGTCAATACAAAATATAAATTGACCGCGAAATCACAATGACCAATCAGATACGTAATTTTAAGTAAGAACCTTTTGAATATTCATGAACTAAATATAAAATGTAAAGTGTAGATTTGGATTTAAATAATCAGGGGCGTAGCTGCCGTTAGGCACTTTAGGCACGTGCCTACACATAAGTTTTTCAAAAAAAAAATTTTTTTTGTATTAAAAAAGATAATGACAACGTTATCTGTAGATGCACGTGAAGTCGTCAAAATTCTTTAATTATCAAATGTAATTTGTACACTAGTATATCATCCTTAGTGAACGGAGTATTGGGTAGAATTGTATGTATGGTCAGAAAGGGGATGTTAACTCCGATGGCTAGTGTAGAGAGAATGCCACGATCTTTGCAGGTTAAGAATACTTGCAACAACTCTTTGAGGGGTCCGTAGGTGGTCTGCTGAAAGGCAAAATTTCTGTCCCTATCCATTAACCATCATTTACCTAGCTGCGCTACGCGTCAATAGGTAAACTCAATTTGCGACAGTAAAATCTACGTTTTACGAAGGCCAAGCTTAAAATACAATACAGTTATCTCCTAATTTTCTAATGGCATTTTCAAATTTTCAGACCTTCATCCTGGACGACCCCTATTACAGGACCTAATGGCTACCTGTATTTATTGTAAATTTGTTTTTGTCCTGAACATGCATAACTATTTGCCACTGGACGTCAAGTTAGCAATCAATCAATCAACTAGCTTTCAGTAACTTCGAGTACTCTCAGATCTCCTTGTAATGACCATAATTATTCCTAAGCAGGTAGGGATTTTACAGTAGAGGATATCAGAAAATATGAATTTCTTGAATTTTGTTACGATAGTATGAACAGAACTGAACTTCTGCATTGAGCATCAACTGTGTGTGAGTGTATGTGTTTGTTTGGCCGGGGTGAAGGTTTAAGAGGGTGCACTTTTTACCCCAAGAATCAAAAGATGTCTAGCCCAAAGGATAGTATTATTATATATAGTAATCTCAGTGTTTACGTGCCTATTCTTTTATATGTACTATCAATTAACGTATATATCAACTATCCTCAATCGGAAAAGAATAGATATGAAAATACTAAATAGGATGTACTGCTTAATTAAAGGGCTACGCTGATCTACGCTGGGCAATGCATATTGGAAATAATTTTTTATTTTTTAGATTTCCGATCGCACTGCTCTAATTCACCAATTATTTATAATTCTTCGAACTTTTCTTCATGTTTATTATCATGATATTAAAATAACCAGTAAATATAATATTTTTTGTACACAAAATTCTGCAACTAAAATGCTGAAAACCGTTTTCCGTCGGGGGGCTTTGCCCCCCTGAACCCCCTACCAGGGCTCTGCCCTGGACCTGCTGGGGCCTTAAGCGGCCCCCAGACACCCTGCCACAATTTGTGCCTACACTTGATTGGATACCAAGCTACGCCCCTGATAATAATATTCCTTTATCAAAATTCAAGAGTTAAACGTTTATAATAAATACAATTCATTTAAAGTATTTTATAAAGATATTTTTACTATATTTAAACAGAAGTAAAAATGACACTACTACATATGCATGATTGGCAAACTATGAACTGTTATATCTTTCTAAAGTTTTGTATACATAAAGACAATAATAATATTAATAGAACTTGTATACAATTTAACAAAACAAAGGATGTATATTGCCCCTTTGAAACATGTAACATACATATGTTGTCACAGTTTTTTGATTTTTTAGTCCACAATAACAAATGTATGTTATTTTTCTCTAATAACTTATTTAAGTTATACCCTTGACTCAATGACTGACAAAACTTGATAAACAGGACAGAATTTCCAATACCTTAAAAAATATATTTTTGTTAACTTTTATGTGAATAGCATGAGGCAAACAAAAATGCTTGTTTCCTGCCTTCTGACTGACCCCAAGTTTGATAGCTACCCTAAAATATTTTATTGCCTTTCCAAAAACTTATTTAAGAATAAGTGTTAAGAGCCGGCCCGTCTTATTTGACTACTAAAAATCTGATTTCCGCTGGATTATTCACTCAAATTTGTAACTAGATTGACACATATTGAGTGTAGAACTTGTTAAACCATTGAAAATCATAAATGTATCATCACACATGCGCTAATTACTTGAGGATGCAGAGGTGTACAAAACTCAGAGAAAACATGAATTTTTTCCAGATTTTGTTAACATGCAAAATATAAAATGAAATTAAGAAATAAAATAAAATCCAACTCACCCTATTTTAAAATGGTTGGAGGCAGGACACAAACATTTGTGTGTTGATTCTGTATAGAAGTGTTTAATATCTGTTTATTTGCTAACTTTACTCTTGATTATTTCAGGTTTTGACATAGATTTCAGCAGTGTACCAATACCAGGAACCAGTCAACAGTCAGCAGCTAGAACCCAGCCCCCGGACCCTGAAGATCCTGCTTATATCAGAGAATTACTCTTGAAGAATCCACATGAACTTTCACTTCTAAGGGAAAGAAATCCAGAATTAGCAGAGGCCTTAATAAATGGAACCTTTGGTATTCTTACTTTATATTTTCAGAATATCTCTAATGTTTATAATATTTATAAGATGAATGATTTTCCAAAGAACACCACAATCTTTAAACATTATAGAACAAAGCTGTCAATCATAAACAGTAATGGACCTCATTGTAAGAAATATTCAATTAATTTTAATACATTTCAGGTCTCATCCTGGTTATGAATTGTTTGGAAAAAGTCATGATAGTTTAAATATTAAAATAAGGAGATAAAAAAACAACTATCCACCAGAGTTCGAATGCTGTGGATATAAGCGATTATAGGTCACCGTAATATAGTGTTATTAACTGGCTGTTTCTGTATTGGCCCTGTTATAGATTCGAGAATAGCTGTATTGGACCCGAGACTCAAAGAGTCGAGGGCCAATACAGCTGATCGAGAATCTATAACAGGGCCAATACAGAAACAGCCAGTTCATAACACTTTTATTAAATGATTTAAATTCTTCGATTAAACTAAGAAACCTATCGTGAAGAAGATACAGAAATTCATGACATTCATAGCTGAAATTATCTTTTCAAATTCACGATGGATTTTTTGTCAACATTGAGTCATTGTCAGATGTAATTTCTGAATTCTCTTCCAAATACTTAATCTTATGCTATTACAATTCATTTTATCTAGCAAATATAAAGTAGCTGGGAAGAAAAAATCAGACAGTTTAACTATTTTTACTCTTGGTTCGTCTGCGTTCTGTTGGTTGATCAACGGAAATGAAACAGTGATAATAATCGAAAGCCGTACTCGAAAAGGCTGTGAAATATTTCCGTTTCAAGACGTTACAAAACACTGAACATCATTTAAATTTTTTTCTATGATTTTAAGTTGAAAAATATGATACAAATGTATTTTATGCATAACGATACGTCCAAAGTTAAGCTTAGCTTAGGAAAATTGAAACCGGAAGTGAAAGTCCCATATTAGGCCATGGGCCAATACTGTTTTTTTTCAGTATTGGCCGTTTTTTTCCGTATTGACCCTGCCCGAAAAGCAATATTAACTCCTGATTTATATCGACAGGGCAATGTCATCAGTATTACACATGCTGATTTATCCGTATTAGGGCTGATTTGCTCATATCATTTAATAATTGGACGTAATGCCTCAACAATGAGAAAAACCTATACAGCAGAGTCAGCTATAATAGACCTAACATGGAAAATGTAAAACTATTCAAACGAGTAAAACTAACTGCCTAATTAATAACAATACATTTTACAAAAAACAAATATTACAGACACAAACCCATGACAATCACTGAATTCCAGGCTCCTGATCACTTTGGACAGGCACATATATAAAGAATGTGGCGGGGGTTAAACATGTTTGTGAACACTGAACCCTCCCCTGACCTGGGACAGTGGTGTAGCAACATTACATTACAAGAACAAAGTAAAAACCAGTTGCAAATGACTTAACTCAATAGATTGATACGAAGCTCAAAAAAACTAACATAAAAACAATGGACACTAAGCACCGATATACATGTAAAAGTACTCATTGTAACTGAAATCTAGTTCAAAGCTAATAACAACTAATAAATAAATCATGTTCTCCCATTTAATATAAAATAAGAAGATGTGGTATGATTGCCAATGAGAAAACTCTCCACAAGAGACCAAATGACACAGAAAATAACAACTATAGGTCACTGTACATGTACAAGTCCTTTCTTTCAAACACTAATTGAAGTACATGTATACGTGACAATTGTGTGTTAGTTTTATAAAAAAAACTTTAAAATTGTTATAAATATAAAAATAAGAAGATGTGGTATGATTGCCAATGAGACAACTCTTCACCAGAGACAAATGACCTACAAATTTTCTTTTATGGATATCCAACATCTCCTTGGACCATGAGAGCTCGGCATCCATTGTTGTCATAAACTTTTTAGAAAATCTCCTCTGAATCCACTGCTTTACCAGTTTAGACCAAACTTGGTCTGAATAATTCTTAGACCATTTAACGTGTTTAAGACATCTAGACGAGTGAACCAACACCTTCTAATGGTACAGGCTGGTAGAGTAATCAGGATGGATAAAGAAGTATGCTGCGGTTGTCTTAAAACCTTGGGAAAATATAACTATAAAAAGACAACAACATCCTGGATTACTGCAAGGAAATGCTTTATTCTGGTCTACATGTTTCGCCACTTACGGTGGCATCTTCAGGACAATTTAATGATAGGAAACAAGTGAAGAAGTACAAAAAATGCGGTTCATATATGGGGTAACAAAAAGGTTAACAAGACGTAACGTCACAATTATTGGTTTGACAATGTTAAAGTGAAAGTAAAAGTTAATAATGAATTGTCAGTATCTTTTCCAAAATGGACATCACCTCACTGGACATTCTGTACACCGTAAGTGGCGAAACATGTACACCAGAATAAAGCATTTCCTTGCAGTAATCCAGGATGTTGTTGTCTTTTTATAGTTATATTCTTAGACCATTTAGTTTAAAAGTTTTGATTTTGTTCCTGCCATCAACCAACATGACCACAATTGGTAAACAAGAACACAAGGGCAAATGCCAGTTAGAGTCTAATATCTTGAAAATTATAAAATATACATGACATAAAAGAAAATTTGCCGGTAAATACTTGACATGTCAAGATCTACATACTTTCTACATCCATCAAATTGTCAGACAACTCCTCATATATAAGAGTCTTATTTTAAATGTAATTTTTTTACCCATATTTTGCACTTTTGTCAATTTTTTATACGACCGCAAAAAAATTTTTGTGGTCGTATATTGGTATGACGTTGGCGTCGTCGTCGTCCGAAGACACATTGGTTTTCGCACTCTAACTTTAGTTTAAGTGAATGGATCTTTATGAAATTTTACCACAAGGTTCAATATCACAAAAGGAAGGTTGGGATTGATTTTGGGGGTTATGGTAATAACAGTAAAGGAATTAGGGGCCAAAAAGGGGCCAAAAATAAGCATTTTTGTAACTTCCAGACATAACTTGTGTGTTAGTGTATGGATCTCTCTGACATTGTACCACAAGGTTCCATATCACAAAAGGAATGCTGGGATTGATTTTGGGGGTAATTGCCTCCAAATTTTAGGAATTAGGGGCCAAAAAAGGGGCAAAAAACAAGCATTTTTCTAGTTTCATGACAATAACTTGTGTGTAAGTGTATGGATCTTTCTGAAATTGAACTACAAGGTTCCATATCACAAAGGGAAAGCTTGGTTTGAGTTTGGGGGTAATTGCCCTAAACGTTTAGGAATTTGGGGCCAAAAAGGGGCCAAAAAACACATTTTTTTCTAGTTTCCAGACAATAACTTGTGTTCAAGTGTATGGATCTCTCTGAAATTGTACTGCAAGGTACCATACCACAAAGGGAAGGCTGGGATTGAGTTTGGGGGTGATGAATCATAATGGGGGTTCATAAAATTTTTGGGGGGGATTTTTTTTTTTCCTTTTTTTTCTTTTTTTCCTTTTTTGTTTCTTTTAAAATTTTCCATTTTAAGTTGGTAATTTCTGATTTATATTTAAAATCAAATAATAATGATATGGTAGGAGATACACACCAAACAGGATGTGTAAATTATTATATAATAAGTATTGTGCAATAGCAAGAAATTTTCAATTGCACAGTATTGCACAATAGCAAGAAATCTTCAATTGCACAGTATTGCGCAATAGCAAGAAATCTTCAATTGCACAGTATTGCGCAATAGCAAGAAATATCCAATAGCACAATATTGCGCAATAGCAAGAAATTGTCAATTGTACAGTATTGCGCAATAGCAAGAAATATTTAATAGCACAGGATTGTGCAAAAGAAGATACTTCCTATAAATTGCTTATTTCTTGACCAATTTCAATGGGGTTTTATTCTTGATTTCATGGGGTTCTTTAATATGCTGAATCTAACCGTGTATTTAGTTTTTGGATTTTGGGCCCCGTTTTTAAATTGGTCCACATTGAGGTCCAAAGGGTCCAAAATTAAACTTTGTTTGATTTCATCAAAAATTGAATTATTGGGGTTCTTTGATAAGCCGAATCTAACTGTGTATTTAGATTCTTAAATTTTGGTTCTGTTTTCAAATTGGTCTACATTAAGGTCCAAAGGGTCCAAAATTAAACTTAGTTTGATTTTAACAAAAATTGAATTCTTAGGGTTCTTTGATATGCTGAATCTAAACATGTATTTAGATTTTTGATTATGGGCCCAGTTTTCAAGTTGGTCCAAATCGGGGTCCAAAATTAAACTTTGTTTGATTTCAACAAAAATTGAATATATGGGGTTCTTTGATATGCTGAATCTAACCATGTATTTAGATTTTTGATTTTTGGGCCCCGTTATCAACTTTGTCCACATTGAGGTCAAAAGGGTCCAAAATTAAACTTTGTTTGATTTCATCAAAAATTGAATTATTGGGGTTCTTTGATATGCCGAATCTAACCGTGTATTTAGATTCTTAATTTTTGGTTCCGTTTTCAAATTGGTCTACATTAAGGTCCAAAGGGTCCAAAATTAAACTTAGTTTGATTTTAACAAAAATTGAATTCTTAGGGTTCTTTGATATGCTGAATCTAAACATGTATTTAGATTTTTGATTATGGGCCCAGTTTTCAAGTTGGTCCAAATCGGGGTCCAAAATTAAACTTTGTTTGATTTCAACAAAAATTGAATATATGGGGTTCTTTGATATGCTGAATCTAACCATGTATTTTGATTTTTGATTTTTGGGCCCCATTATCAACTTTGTCCACATTGAGGTCAAAAGGGTCCAAAATTAAACTTTGTTTGATTTCATCAAAAATTGAATTCTTGGGGTTCTTTGATATGCTGAATCTAACCATGTATTTAGATTTTGGATATTGGACCATAATAGGTGAATGTCCAATTTAAAATTTTTAAGTTCTTAGACCACATTCAATCTGTGTTAGAAACCTATGCTGTGTCAAATATTTAATCACAATCCAAATCCAAAGCTGTATCAAGCTTGAATGTTGTGTCCATACTTCCCCCAACTGTTCAGGGTTCGACCTCTGCGGTCGTATCAAGCTGCGCCCTGCGGAGCATTTTATTTTAAAAATGTAAAAGATAAAGAGAAACTGTGTACAGCAAAAGTGATGAACATACCAAGATCTAAATGACCAATATTGTAAATCTACTACTTATTAGAGTAATTGTCCTTGAATGACAACTTTTGTATATTTAGTGTTTTTATTGAAGAATACTTGATATAATAGACATGATAGATAGAACTGAAAACAGCAAAAAAGATCAAGAAGATATAGAGTAAAAAAACTGAAGCGTGAACACAATTACTTAAGATCTATCAGTTTAGTAGAAATGTACATTTTGTATGGCCTTTAGAAATGACATACATCATGTACATTAAAATCTTTGTGATTATATTAATAATGATACATTTTTTATTTTTGCTATAAACTTATTTCCAGAAAAATTCAAAGATGTTTTACAAAGACAGACAAGAGAAAGGAAAGAAAAAGAAATGGAGAGAATACAGTTAATGAATGCAGATCCTTTTAGTGCTGAAGCTCAAAAGATGATAGCAGAGGAAATCAGGTCCAGTGGTAAAATTCTAAACACAGTTGTTTCCCCTTTGTTTGTTTCTTATAGGACTAAAAATTAATAGAGATAAAGTCGACTTAAACAACCAACCAAAAATAACATACACATTTATGGCTAATAACAAGTTTGAAATACATTACTAGATATATGATGTAGCTCTAAACTTTACACTGAGATAAACAATAGCTAAAACTAGTAAATAATTATAACTACTGATACTGAAATGATCATTTGCTCAAAAAAGTTCCTTTAATTATGCCACATTTGAGACTGATATCATTATAATTTTTAGAAAGATATGATCATGCTTCTTTGTATTATTTATTATTATAAATTAAGTGATTTTGTATGTGTGTGTTCAGAGGTTAAAAATCCACTAGCCTGACACTAGAACATTACACCTCAGGCAGTCAAAACTTAAGGGCTATTCCATTAAAATGTATGTGGGAGGGTAGGAAGGGAAGTTTAATTATTGAATGTGGGTCATGGGTCTTTTTTCAGTATGCGTCTATTACCATTATCTAAAAAATGGTTCTTGGTTGTAGGTATATTTTGAAAGTCCGTTCCTACCCTCCCACATACATTTTAATGGAATAGCCCTAATTCAATTCACCTTTTTAGAATCTAAAGGATTATGGGTAATCTCATTGTTCGTACACCAAAATGAACATAACGTTACATGTTTGGTTGAATTACCATTGTTTGGCACGTTTGAAACCAATCACAACGTTTTGGAGTACACTTTTGAAAGTCTTCCAGAATGTACTAGATTCTGAAACAGCGATTATACCCATCGGACTAGTAAATAAAATTCTTGGTGTTACCAAAATAGAAAGAGGAAAATCCCTTCCTCACTATTTTTTATTTTTGTCTTAGCCAATCAGATTTAATGACTTCATCAGTTGACCATCCAGGATTCCAGGAATCTGAACTGATTTTATACATGTTTTAAAAATAGATCTAATAACTAGGTGGATTGGTATCTTGTATTGATCGCAATTCACGTACTTTCAAGATCGATTTCTCAGAACTCTTAGTACTGGGGATATTGTACATTGCTCATGACGTGACTTTCAATTCAAAGTTCTGGGGTGTATGATGAATTGATCAATATGAGTTTTCTTGGCGGACAGCATGAAACCATGCAACAAAACATTGCTAATTATTTATAATGGGCGCTCCAGGTACATCATCAGTTTTGAAACTAAGAACTGTAGATATGTGACTATATTTGTTCCACATAATATATGTTCCACATGGAACAAAGGAGTAGATAACAAAAATTCCTTAAGAACTTAAATTATATAATATTTTTTATGCCCCACCTAGGGGCATTATGTTTTTCGATCTGTGCGTCCGTTCGTCTGTCCGTCTGTCCCGCTTCAGGTTTAAGTTTTTGGTCAAGTTAGTTTTTGATGAAGTCCAATCAACTTGAAACATAGTACAAATGTTCCCTATGATATGATCTTTCTAATTTTAATGCCAAATTAGAGTTTTTACCCCAATTTTACGGTCCACTGAACATAGAAAATGATAGTGCGAGTGGGGCATCTGTGTACTATGGACACATACTTGTTTCCTTCTTCATCATGTTCATAAAATAGTTTCCTGGAACAAAAAGCCCCTTAAAATTTGTTCTAGTATGACTGGAAAGTATATGTATATAAAAGAGTGATTTTTAAAGGTCGTAAAAAAATACATGTGTATCATGTGATTTTTTATACGACCGCAAAAATTAAAAATGTTTTGGTCGTATATTGGTCAGTCAGGGGACTTATTGAAATAAGTGATTTTTAAATCACTTATTTAAGTAGCAAATTCCAGGTTTTGTCAGAAATTGTCATTTTGTAGTTTTACCAAAATTTTAAACACAGAGGTTTAAATAATATCTTTTCATTAGTAAAATTGAAAAAAATGAACTTCTTTTAAGCAGCAAGGTTTATGCCTTTGATGCAATCATTTAGCTGCAAATTCTATTTTAGTTGAAAAAATGCTATAGAAATGGCTTTACATAATGAACTGATACTTTCTTAACAGATTTTTCCCAGCAGTGGGAGTATTTTTCCTGTAAAATTCAAGGTTTCATCTTATAGATTATGTAATAAAAATCCACTGTTCGCGATCAAAATTTCACTGTTCGGGGTGTTGAAATTAGTGGGGTTATTAAAATAATGATACTTAAAGAAGTGACTTTTTTGAAGGAAATTGAGGTATGATACTTAAACAAGTGATTTTTATGTCATTATCCTAGATTTAGTACAAGGTCATCACCTGACATGACCCGGTCATCCTATCAACACAGATGTTGGTTCTGATAATTTTAGCAACATAATTAGTCCCTGGATCATTAGTATTCTATATTTAAAGCTACAATAAAATTAAATCACTTAGTCTAGTGATTAATTTGTACTACTTAAATAGGTGATTATTAAAGAAAGACAACTCTTACTTCCAACCTTTATGGACATAATGTTACTTTAATCAGTGATTTAGAAAATCACTCATTTAAGTAAGTCCCCTGACTGTTGGTATCACGTTGTTGTCGTCATCGTCAGCGTCGTCCGAAGACAGATAGATGGTTTCTGGATAATAACTTGAGTATAAGTAAATAGAAATCAATAAAATTTTAACACAAGGTTTATAACCACTAAAGGAAGGTTGGGATTGATTTTGGGGCATATGGTCCCAACTGTTTAGGAATTAGGGGCCAAAAAAAGGGCCCAAATAAGCATTTTTGTAGTTTCCAGACAATAACTTGTGTTAAAGTGTATGAATCTCTCTGAAATTATACCACAAGTTTCCATACTACAAAGGGATGGTTAGGATTGACTTCGGGGGGTAATGGCTCAAACCATTTAGGAATTAGGAGCAAAAAAAGGGGAAAAACAAGGGTTTTTGTCGAGCCTGCGACTTTTGTCGCAGAAAGCTCGACATAGGGATAGTGATGCGGCGGCTACGGCGGCGGCGGCGTTAGCTAACTTCTTAAAAGCTTTATATTTTAGAGGGTGGAAGACCTGGATGCTTCATACTTTGTATATGGATGCCTCATGTTACGAAGTTTCCGTCAGTCACATGTCCAATGTCCTTGACCTCATTTTCATGGTTCAGTGACTACTTGAAAAAAAAGTTCAGATTTTTTGTAATGTTAAATTCTCTCTTATTATAAGTAATAGGATAACTATATTTGGTATGTGCTTACCTTGCAAGGTCCTCATGCCCGTCAGACAGTTTTCACTTGACCTCGACCTCATTTCATGGATCAGGGAACAAGGTTAAGTTTTCGTGGTCAAGTCCATATCTCAGATACTATAAGCAATAGGTCTAGTATATTCGGTGTATGGAAGGACTGTAAGGTGTACATGTCCAACTGGCAGGTGTTATCTGACCTTGACCTCATTTTCATGGTTCAGTGGTTATAGTTAAGTTTTTGTGTTTTGGTCTGTTTTTCTTATACTGTATGCAATAGGTCTACTATATTTGGTGTATGGAAGGATTGTAAGGTGTACATGTCTAGCTGGCAGGTGTCATCTGACCTTGACCTCATTTTCATGGTTCAGTGGTTATAGTTGATTTTTTGTGTTTTGGTCTGTTTTTCTTATACTGTATGCAATAGGTCTACTATATTTGGTGTATGGAAGGATTGTAAGGTGTACATGTCTAGCTGGCAGGTGTCATCTGACCTTGACCTCATTTTCATGGTTCAGTGGTTATAGTTGAGTTTTTGTGTTTTGGTCTGTTTTTCTTATACTGTATGCAATAGGTCTACTATATTTGGTGTATGGAAGGATTGTAAGGTGTACATGTCTAGCTGGCAGGTGTCATCTGACCTTGACCTCATTTTCATGGTTCAGTGGTCAAAGTTAAGTTTTTGAGTTTTGGTCTTTATTTCTAATACTGCATGCAATAGGTCTACTATATTTGCTGTATGGAATGATTGTAAGGTGTACATGTCTAGCTGGCAGGTGTCATCTGACCTTGACCTCATTTATAGGTTCAGTGGTCAAAGTTAAGTTTTTGAGATTTGATCTTTTTTTCTAATACTATATGCAATAGTTCAACTACATTTGGTGTATGGAAATATTTTATGATCTATATGTCAGTCACGCAGGTTTTATTTGACCTTGACCTCATTTTCAAGGTTCATTGCTCAGTGTTAAGTTTTTGTGTTTTGGTCTGTTTTTCTTAAACTATAAGCAATAGGTCAACCATACTTGTTGTATGGAAGAATTGTTAGCTGTACATGCCTGCCTAGCATGGTTCATCTGACCTTGACCTCATTTTCATGGTTCATTGGTCAATGTTTAGTTTACTTGGTTAATGTTAAGTTTATGTGACAGTTGTATTAAAGCTTTATATTTAGGACTATCAACATAATATCAATGATTAGTAAAGAAGGTGAGACATTTCAGCGTGTGCACTCTTGTTCTAGTTAAAGGACAATTGAGACAATTTAAAAGCAGTGTAAGGGAGGTAATCCAAATCAATTTAAATAACAATGTTTGATTACCTCCCTTACACTGCTTGTAAATTATGTATTAAGAAATGATGATTGTCTGAGATACTGACCATAACTTGAGGGAAAGAATTTGTTTTTGGAATTTGGAATAAGGGAAAGGGGGGAGGTGAGAAAAATTGGAGGGGGACAATTTTTCTCATTTCAGATTTCAGAAATTAAAAGAAAATTTCTTCAAATATTTTTGTCAATTCGCATAGTGTTTTGCACAAGAGCAAAAAATTGAATATAAATTCAAATCATATAACCAATTTGAAGTTCTTTGACTACAGTTATTCTGTGTCAGAAACCTATTATGTGTCAAAAATTTAATTACAATCCAAATTCAGACCTGTATCAAGCATGAATATTGTGTCCATTTTGGCCCCAACTTTTCAGGGTTGGACACCTGCGGTTGTATACAGCTGCGCTCAGCGAAGCAATTTATTACACCTTGCATTTTGAAATGTAATCACATGAACATGAAGGTTTATACATGCATGACACTTTTGTTTCCATTTACATATAATTATTATTCCAGGAACTTCTCTTACATAAAATTATTCCTGGGATTTCTCTTCTATTATTATTATTATTATAACATGAAATTCTCTTTTATGGATCCACAAAAATTGGTACCCGCGAAAAAATAAAATGAATCTACAGTGCTCTACTTTGAATTTTCAATATGTTGAATGAAAACAAATATTTTTCGCCAAACTTTATTAAGATACTACTGCACAGACTGATTCAGTCAGCAGTCAGTTGTATCATGGGTGTCCTTTTCAGATCTGTTAGGCTCCTACTTCTTGTATGTGGATACTTTTTGTTAAGGAGAGGGGGGGTATGAATAGCACAACACATTCAACTTGTTGTTTGTTGTTTCATGTCGCTTTGGGGGCTCAACTGGTCTTACAGAAAATTTTTGTTTCAATGAATGCGCTTGTCTAATACAAGCAGGTTATGCTTGGTGTGGATAACCTCTTATCATATTTTGTTTGAATTCAGTTTCAATTGAAGAGTTTTTTAAGGTACATTCAGCTTATTTGAACATCTTAAACAATATAAACAATATAAGTCAATATGTGGTATAGCTAACAGATGAGCAATACAGTCTCCTTGGAGCTTCGATTTAAGATAGCTTTATACTCTTCATTTTTTTCTTTGAATATGTGTTAGGAATTTATCACTTCTTAATTATAGGTCTTTTAATAAAAGTTGTTTACATTTACAGAATGAAAAATGTTGAATCAAACATGGAGACAGCAATAGAGTATGCCCCTGAAAGTTTTGGTCAAGTGGTCATGTTATACATTGATTGTGTAGTTAATGGACACCATGTCAAAGCCTTTGTAGATTCAGGTATAGTACAGTCAGCCATAGAGTACTGATTAACCTACAGTCATGAAAATCTTTGATTCTGTAGAGATTCATATTATATACTGATCATGCTGATAGTGAGGTTAACAAATGTTATACCAAAGCTGTTAGAAAGTCTTACATGGCAGGATAAGGCTATAAAGGATTCAAATAAGATACCCAAGTGTATCATCATTAAATAGTTTACAAATGTTATATCAAAGCCATTAGAAAGTTTACATGGCAGGATAAGGCTATAAAGGATTCAGATAAGATGCCCAAGTGTATCATCATTAAATAGTGGAAAGTTATCATGGTTATCAATGTTTTTTATTGCACCTTAAAGTTTCAAAAATAAAATTAGACAGGATAATGTACAGTCATGATAAAAATAATCAAATTAAGTCTTGTTTCAGTGGTTGTATACTTTGTAAATATTATAAGAACTTTATTGATGTTACAGGTCATCCATAAACTGAGATTCACAAACTCATGTTTCGTTTACTTGAATCAATATAAGTAGGAATTATTTTGTTTATAGAAAACTTATTATAGCTTTATAATAATGATTCAAGGTGCTCAGATGACAATAATGAGTGAAGCTTGTGCAGAAAGATGTAATATAATGAGACTGGTGGACAGACGATGGGGTGGCATAGCCAAAGGTGTGGGGACACAACAGATTATAGGCAGGGTGCATTTAGGTAAGTAACAGTTGGTCAGGGTGGTATAGCTAAAGGTGTGGGGACACAACAGATCATAACCCATGTAGGGAGGGTGCATTTAGGTAAGTAAAAGTGGGTCAGGGTGGTACGGCTAAAGGTGTGGGGATACAACAGATCATAGGCTGGGTGCACTTAGGTAAGTCACAGTGGGTCCATCTTTGCAAGCCAAGGGTTAAGATCCAGGCCCTTCCTCTCTACCCTTGGCAGATTAAGCCAACATTTATGATTACAATGCTGTGCCATCTCCCCGTAGATATAAGTGACTACATCATTCTTTGACCAATGGTAGCACTTGAAATCTCTTCAGTGTAGCTAGAGGTGTAAAAATGGTTGTGTCTAAGAGTTTACAAATTTGGTGAAGCAGGAACCAAAAATATGTTGACATTCCAACATTTGCGAGAGAACATACCCAGGAACTCCAATTAGTTGATAAAGAACTTTAAAACTGTCACTAAATATCGTCCAATGTTTTGGGCAGGGTTGGCAAAGTATTACCTGGGCGGGAAAACCCGGGTCTGGGTTTTCCCGGGCCGGGCAATACTCCCAGATATGGGTAATACTGGGCAATACTGGGTAATATGATTTTTCATGCTTATTTTTACACAAAATAGTAAAGACTTGTTGTAGTTTAATAGTAGTATAGCTAAATATATACATTTTATACAGATAACCATTGAGAGTAATTCCTGAAGATTGAAAATTCAATTTCTTCCTTTTCTCTATGTAGGCAGAATACAAGTTTTGCACATTTCAGGATATCTTGTTAATTTCCAAGCTTTGTTTCAATAATCCAATTTGAAACTTTGAAAAAATGCATTTTATTGCAGTGTTTAAGTGAATTGTAAATTTTACTTGTTATACAATCATATTGCTAAATAAACACCCTAAGGGGACATGCCATGAACACTTATAGAAATCAAAAGGCTGATTATTGTTATATAAACAAATCTGTGTTATGATCTGAATAATTACTTATTAATTAGTGATGTACATAAACTTCTGCTAAAACTTAGTAAACATTTTTAGTAATGAACAAAAAATGTTTAAAAGTAATTTTCCTTACATATAATTGTTAATTCTTAATATTAGTTATATTTAAAAAAAAAATTCGTAAGGGTTCCGCGGAACCCAGTGTCTCGCCTACTTTTTCTGTTAATCGCAGACTCAACAAAAATGAGGAAGTAAATCAATAAAAATATTCCTCTTAATACTATCTTTTGATTGTAAGAAGCTTCTGTCCAAGTTTGGTAAAATTCCAGGATAGTTTATGATTTAAAATAACTGTTTAAAACTTTTAACTGCAGACTGAATGTAATGTTAACTGGAAGAAAACAAAATTTCCTTCTAGATACTAGCATTTGATCATAAACAAGCTTCTGTCCAAGTTTGGTACAAATCCAAAATATAGTATAAGAAAGTTATTAAAATTTTAAAAACTTTAACCACAGAGTGAATATGTTGTTTCCTGGCAGAAAATCTAAGTCCATTTAAAAGTAAAATACGGAAAAAATGGATTTATTTTTTTTACAAAATTTCCTTCTAGATACTAGCTTTTGATCATAAACAAGCTTCTGTCCAAGTTTGGTACAAATCCAAAATAGTATAAGAAAGTTATTAAAATTTTAAAAACTTTAACCACAGAGTGAATGTGTTGTTTCCTGGCAGAAAATCTAAGTCCATTTAAAAGTAAAATAAGGAAAAAATGGATTTATTTTTTTACAAAATTTACTTCTAGATACTATCTTATGATCATAAACAAGCTTCTGTCCTAGTTTGGTACAAACCCAGGATAGTTTAAGAAAGTTATTAAAATTTTAAAAACTTTAACCACAGAGTGAATGTAATATTTACCGGCAGAAAAACTAAGTCCATTTATAAGTAAAATACGGAAAAAATGGAATTTTATTTTTACAAAATTTACTTCTGGATACTATCTTATGATCATAAACAAGCCTCTGTCCAAGTTTGGTAGAAATCCAGGATAGTTTAAGAAAGTTATTAAAATTTCAAAAACTTTAACCACAGAGTGAATATTTGTGGACGCCGCCGCCGACGCCGACGGAATGTAGGATCGCTATGTCTCGGTTTTTTGACTAAAGTCGAAGGCTCGACAAAAACCAAATTGAATTCTTTGACTTTAAGTCAACACTTTGACAGAATGGCGATAAGATAGATTTTTAGGAGGATTATTAAGAAAAGCTTTTTACATTTGTCTTATGTGACTCATGTACACTTGTCTTAGAGTTGCTGGATCATTAATATTTTCTTAGATTTATACACTTTATATTAAGAGTCTCAAACAAGCAAACTTATAAATTAAAATACTACGTTTTACTTTTATAAATACATGTATCTTTAATGTATTGCATTTGTGATTAATCACTGAATCTTCTTTAAAATTTAGGCCAGTATTTCATATTACCCAGTATTGCCCAGTAAAACCCAGTAAAACCCGAGTTTTCCCAGTATTTCCCACTGGGCTGGGCAATACTCATAAAACCCGGGTTTTTGCCAACCCTGGTTTTTGGGTAAAGACTTGTTGCACAATTAGCAAGTGCCAATTGTTTATTTACTGTAAATTCAAAAATTATTGTGTATAGATATAAGAAGATGTGGTATGAGTGCCAATGAGACAACTCTCTATCCAAGTCAAAATTTATAAAAGTAAACCATTATAGGTCAAAGTACGGTCTTCAACACGGAGCCTTGGCTCACACCAAAAAGCAAGCTATAAAGGGCCCCAAAAATTACTAGTGTAAAACCATTCAAAAGGGAAAACCAACGGTCTAATCTTTATAAAAAAACAGAAATGAGAAACACTTATGAACCACATCAACAAACGACAATTACTGAACAGATTCCTGACTTTGGACAAGTGCAAACAATTGCAGCAGGGTTAAACATTTTAATGGTACCAAACCTTCACCCTTTTTCTGAAACAATAGTGTAACATCACAACATAGAAAGACACACTATAAAATATCAACTGAAATAGCTTAACTCAATCAAAGGACATATTAACACCAGTGAACATACACTGAACAAATAAATTTCACCTATGATACAATGTAAATACAAAATAAATAAACTAAGGGAAGAATAATAAAAGTAACATGTTATACCGCTATGAAATGTTAAATTATTTAAGAAAAACAATATGCTCGAACAAAAATTACAGCCATTTGCAATTACTTTAAACACAGGTAAATGAAAATAATTTTGTTGTTAGGTATACGTGTACAGTTCAAATAGAGAAGCGAAATATATTTCATATACTGTGGATTCATTTTTATTCGTGGTATACCAGTTTTCGTGGGTTTTGTGGGTCACAGCGAACCACGAATTTAAGAATTCAACGAAGAATAATCCCGAGAAATGTGTATGGAGTCGGATGTTTTTTTCCGGTTATGTTTTGCAGTTCTAGTATAGTGTTGACTAACGATAAACATTGTAACATAACACGTGTTTTTATTGAAAGAAGATACAAGTATTTTGATTAAATCAATAATAAATATATCGAATATCAGTGATAATTAACTTTTTAAAATTGATTTAAACTGTTCATGGAAAATAAATGCAAGTTGTTAATTACCGTGTCATAGTTTGGTTTACTGGTGAATAAAAATCAATAGGATTAACGGTACGGGGATATTGCCCGTAGGTAATATCATTTATGACAGGAACATTTATTTTCACACCTTTTACTTATACTTATATATTATATCGTGATTAGGGAAATGAGCTTTCAATCATAGAGTTTTGAATGCCTTATAAAATTCCGACAAGAATTTATAAATTGTAAAACAAACAAATAATTAGTTGTCTCTGTCCATTATTGTAATAGAAGTTTTCAATGAACACTTTAACCTAGAATGACCAAGCGAGGATTTTGACAATTCAAAACCTTTTCAATGAATTCCTTCTTTTTTGTTTGTTGTATTATTGATCAAACCAAGGAGGTTATATAATCTCCTAAATCAAAAAGAAATCCACAAATTACGTATCTGAATTTTTATTTTGTTATCAGCGATCCATGAATTTACGTATACCACGAAACGTCTTTTTTTTCTATCTACGAAAATTGATACCCACGATAATAAATTAATCCACAGTAGTGCATTTATCATTGCGATTTTGACAATTTAGACTAAAATGCGATTTCAATTTTTGCGATATTGAGAATCCTGTTTAATTTATATAAAAAATTTCAAAATGCGAGTTTAAATTATTGCGATTATAACCTTGTTGCATACTTCGCAATAATAAAAACATCGCAATAATTTCTGAATTTACAGTACATTATATACATTTACACATGATCATCTCAAAGGCGCTTTTTGATTGGATGCAGCCAGTTATAACTGCGACCAATGAAAATCATTACCTTGTTGATCAGAAATTCTATCTTAATCTGCCAAGGGTGATGAGGAGGGGACTGGATTGTAACCCTTGGCTTGCGAAGATGCAGAGGGTCAGGGTGGTATAGCTAAAGGTGTGAGGACACAACAGACCATAGGCAGGGTGTATTTAGGTAAAGAATGTTCTCACTATCAACTAGAATAATCAAACTAGACCTGCCTCTTTCAAAATAAATGAGATAATACCAGATTCAAAACACCTTTGTCTAATTATTGTAATCATGTTGTTATGCACAAAGTAAGACACTGTTCTTCACACCAACCTACAGTTGACAGGGTTCTCACTAAGGATTTTTGAAGGCGAGTCCAGGGACTCGTCATTTTTGGCCATGGTGAGTCCAACAGTAAGATGAAGATATTTTATTGCAATATAATTTATCATTTTAGTTTCCATGATCTAATAAGAGCAATGAAATGACATTTAATTCAGATTTCTTTTAAAATTTTGCCATAAAATGATGATATATGTGTTCAATTTATACAAAATATTTCAGTCTTGATGCATCTTTGGACTCACCAATTTTGTAAATGGTGAGTCCAGGACTCATGGACTCGCCTTAGTGAGAACCATGAGTTGAGATTTGAAAGTGACTTCTCTGGTTCCCAAGTATTAATGGAAAAGCCCTATTAAAGTAAGATATTTGACCTTTATACTTTTATGAAATTCTATAAGTGAACCAACACCAGAAGTGGTGATTGTGCGGTAGGGTAAAACATTTATTCTTTTATGATGAATGAACTTATTGGCTATTTCAGACTCTGAGACAGTCAGGTTGATTTTCTGAATAGCATACAGCAAAATAATGAACTTGGATAACAAGGTCCTAAACAGATAACATGAATAATGACATTATTTTCATTTTGGGTACATAAGACAATGAACTTTACCCATAGTCATATTCTGAAATGAGGAATTACTTTTCACAACTTAGCATGTGCAATATTGACAATTTCCTGAAATTGTGTGCGAGAACAAAAATTCATACATGAAAAAGAGAAATATAATGAAAGGTACTGATTGTAATCTTTTTGATTTTAAACATGTTTTGTTTTGTGATTTGCAGGACAGATACAGATAGGAAAAGATTTTTTACAGTCATCATTTTCTATATTAAAAGATCAACCAATGGACATGTTACTGGGATTAGATATGCTCAAAAGACATCAGGTATTGTTTAATAAATAAGCCATGTAATGGAGTTAGATGTGCTCAAAAGACATCAGGTATTGTTTAATAAATAAGCCATGTAATGGGGTTAGATGTGCTCAAAAGATATCAGATATTGTTTAATAAATAAGCCATGTAATGGGGTTAGATGTGCTCAAAAGACATCAGGTATTATTAAATAAATATGCCATGTAATGGGGTTAGATGTGCTCAGTAGACATCAGGTATTGTTTAATAAATAAGCCATGTAATGGGGTTAGATCGATGTGCTCAATAGACATCAGGTATTGTTAAATAAATAAGCCATGTAATGGGGTTAGATGTGCTCAAAAGACATCAGGTATTATTAAATAAATATGCCATGTAATGGGGTTAGATGTGCTCAGTAGATATCAGGTATTGTTTAATAAATAAGGCATTTAATGGGGTTAGATGTGCTTAATAGACATCAGGTATTGTTTAATGAATAAGCCATGTAATGGAGTTAGATGTGCTCAATAGACATCAGGTATTGTTTAATACATAAGGCATTTAATGGGGTTAGATGTGCTCAATAGACATCAGGTATTGTTTAATAAATAAGGCATTTAATGGGGGTTAGATGTGCTCAAAAGATATCAGATATTGTTTTATAAATAAGCCATGTAATGGGGTAAGATGTGCTCAAAAGACATTAGGTATTGTTAAATAAATAAGCCATGTAATGGGGTTAGATGTGCTCAAAAGACATTAGGTATTGTTAAATAAATATGCCATGTAAAGGGGTTAGACGTGCTCAAAAGACATCAGGTATTGTTTAATAAATAAGCCATGTAATGGGGTTAGATGTGCTCAAAAGACATCAGGTATTGTTTAATAAATAAGCCATGTAATGGGGTTAGATCGATGTGCTCAATAGACATCAGGTATTGTTAAATAAATAAGCCATGTAATGGGGTTAGATGTGCTCAAAAGACATTAGGTATTGTTAAATAAATAAGCCATGTAATGGGGTTAGATGTGCTCAAAAGACATTAGGTATTGTTAAATAAATAAGCCATTTAATGGGGTTAGATGTGCTCAAAAGACATCAGGTATTGTTTAATAAATAAGCCATGTAATGGGGTTAGATCGATGTGCTCAATAGACATCAGGTATTGTTAAATAAATAAGCCATGTAATGGGGTTAGATGTGCTCAAAAGACATTAGGTATTGTTAAATAAATAAGCCATGTAATGGGGTTAGATGTGCTCAAAAGACATTAGGTATTGTTAAATAAATAAGCCATTTAATGGGGTTAGATGTGCTCAAAAGACATCAGGTATTGTTTAATAAATAAGCCATGTAATGGGGTTAGATGTGCTCAAAAGACATCAAGTATTGTTAAATAAATAAGCCATGTAATGGGGTTAGATGTGCTCAATAGACATCAGGTGTAACACATGATTTGTTCAGAATTTTGAGATTGTTGTAGCCTTAATATAAGAGGTGTATTCCTTGGGAAAATAACCAACTATGATCCATCGTATAGAATACTTGTTTGGTTGTTTCACGATGACATATATTCCACATCACATATGATAAATTGATTGCAGAAAACATTTAGATGAGGAGCATATATACACTTGTACACTTTTCGTTTTTGATTTCACTGAAAACAAAGTTGAAGGTACTATGTAAAATAGAGGAACACTGTTGGTGTCCATTTCTGCATTTGAAACTATTTTTCAATAACTAAAAACATACAGTGACATGACTTGACAAGCAATTGCAAGTAGCTATAGGAATGACTTACAATTTGCTATAAAATGAGGGTCAATTTTCTAATATTCCATGCCAAAGCCAACATACTTTATTTTCATAGATCAAAAACTGACCCACAACCCATGTCCAGTAATAAATCTTCACTTTCTATCTCCAAAATTCTTAAAAATGTAAATATTGTTAAACATTTTTATACCCCATCGTCACCAGAGGGGGCATCAAGTGTTATCCTTGTTGGTCCTTACATCCATATGTATGTCCCAAAATTGGTTTCCGTTCTCTAACTTTAGTTTGCCTCAACCAAATGTTATGAAACTTATACACAATGCTTATTTCCACAAAACACAGATCAATTTGTGTGTTGTCACTTTTATTGTTCTTGAGTTGTGCCCCTTTTTAACGTTATATGCAAGCTGGGGTATCATCTGTGAACACATTCTCCATTTATTTAAAATTTTTTAATCAATCCTTTTTTTTCAGTGTTGTATTGATCTAAAAAGAAATGTATTAGTAATTGGAACAACTGGCACAGAAACTAGATTCCTGGATGAGACAGACTTACCAGGCCATGCTAGACTAAATGTAGGTCCAATGTCACCTAAAGCTGCTGAAGAAGAAGATAAATTATTGGCAGAGGCAATACACAAGTCACAAACAGAACAACAAGGTGAGGACACATGGGATATACACAAAATCTAAATAAAACAAGATCTCAATGTCCTGTGTGTTTAATATACACATGGGATTGATATACACAGAATCAAAATAAAACTAGATTGAAATGTCCAGGGTTATACACATGGGATTGATATACCGTTCCTACTCGCTTATTAGTCGGAAAATTGGGAGTAAAATTCATAATCCAGAGAGGGGGACCGACTAATAGACGAGATCTAGCGACCAGAGGACAAATCCAAGCTTGAGAAAAGTGGTCAGGAGTGAATTTCCTGGTCAAAACTACGTTTTTGATTGCCAAACCTACATAAATCAATAAATAAAAAGTTTTTGTTGAAAATAAATGACTACAATACTGTCTTTGTGTTTTATTTGTTCTTTGGTAAACATTTTCTGCAAATTCGTGTTGAAATTCTACTGTTTCCGGTTTGTGTATTGATTTTCATGGTCACATGGTTTTCCTATAAACCCAAAAGAAGAGCCAAGAACCAAAAATGAAAAGGAGATAACAATGTACCAAATATGTGAAAGGATGTTTTCAGCGGAGTTATTGTGTCATTATTGTGATATCATGATATCAATTCAATGCTTATAAATCATATAATAATCAAAAAATAATTTTAAGATTCATTCCCAAAATCAAAATATTATTCATTAAAGTGTCTCAGGTAGACAAAAATTACAAAATTGATTGACAAGCCAATATAATCCATTGATAACCCCAATTAAGAGACAAAGAGTTGTATTTACTAAAGGTGTGAAAACTATCAGTGATAGGTAAACAGATGACACTAATGAGTTGGAGTTAGTTATTTTAATATATTGATTAGCTTCACTTAATTTTTTTAATCCTTTAATCATCACAATATAATAAGAATTATGAAGTATACATGCTCATTTAACACCAAGTTATGTATGCTGTGAAAAATATTTTCATCAAGTCTTGATTGACTTTAAATTTTTCAGGTTCATATTGGTTTATATTCGCTTTTCTCAAACAATAGGTTATTAGTCATACCCTACAAAATCATTGATGCATTATGTAAACAACACATGGCTAATCTAACATTTGAACAGTGAACAAAACAAGAGAAGTGAATACATCTTTATTATTAACAGCAATATAAATTATCATGATGAGCATCAACTAAATTCAAACCAAACAAACATTAATGCAGAAATGAATATTATTCCTGGATTTGCATTGGTTTTACCGGCGTTCAGTTACTGTCAGCTGAAAAAAAAATGCCCAAATTTTGTCCGACTTATACGAGGGTCAAGACTAAATCCTTAGAATTTGGAGCTGAAAAGGGCCCCCGACTTATAGTAGGATCGACTATTAGGCGAGTATCTACGGTACACAAAATCAAAAAATAAAACCAGATCTCAATGTCCTTTGTGTTATTTCCTAAACAAAAATAACTTATATACTTGGAAGTCCTACTGTGAAAGTTCTTTTATTCGTGGGGTACCAATTTTCGTGGTTTTCTTTGATGGTATTATCCACCAATTTAAGTGTCCAACGAAATATAACAACTGTTGTCCAAATCAAGACAAGAAATGATCCCCATGTAGGTTTGACTTCATGCGTACTGGCATATTATGTAAAGAAAACATCTAATATCAAAACATGAATTTTTTATGCCCCCACCTTGCAGAGGGGGTATTAAGTTTTACCCATGTCCGTCTGTACGTCCTGAAATTGGTTTCCGTTCTCTCACTTTAGTTAGCCTCAACCAAATGTTATGAAACTTATACACAATGCTTATTACCACAAAACATGGATCAAGTTTGAATTTGGGTGGCTTCACTTTTACCTTTCTAGAGTTATACCCCTTTACAAATGGAATAATTGCTGAATTTTCATTTCTGTTCTCTAACTTAAGTTTGCCTCAACCAAATATTATGAATCTTATACACAATGCTTATTACCAATAAACACAGATCAAGTTTGAATTTTTATTGCGTCACTTTTACCGTTCTACAGTTATGCCACTTTAAAAATGGAAAAATTGTTGAATTTTTAGTTTCTGTTCTCTAACTGAAGTTTGCCTCAAATGTTATAAAACTTATACACAATGCTTATTACCATAAAACTCAGATCAAATTCACATTTGGGTAGCATCACTTTTAGTGTTCTTAAATAATGTCCTTTTATAATGTCATATGCAAGCAGGGGCATCATCTGTGTCCAATGGACACATTTCCAATTTATTTGCATATGCAACATATCCAATATCATTTGGTTTCATTATTGGTATGGATGACCTCAAAATTGATCCAGAAATGCAAGGAAAAAACACTGAATTGTTCTTTTTTTCACCGATTAAGTTATTTGTGATGCTGAAATCTTGATAATGTTATTGATAAAATAATTTTTGCCACTGTTCAATGGGGTACATCTAGGATGAAACCTGTATGCACAAAAGAACTTGCCTTGGCAGACTTTTACCAGAAAAATTAATCTGAAGAAGTTTTATTCTTTAAATGTCAAAATTGTTATAAAAAAATACAACTGTGGATAAAATCGTGCAGTTGTTGTAATACATGTACAAATGTTTACTTATTGCTTGTAGCATGTGTAGTTCCCCAACTTCCCGTATGAGTGTTTTATCAACAAACCAGTCATTAACTGCTTTCTTGTTATTTCTAATCTGTTACCCTTCAATATACTGCTACCCTTGTATATATATCATCAACAATTTCACTGGTCAATAAGATGGCTGTTCTAAGAGGGAGCACTTTGCCCATTTATGTTTACGATAGGGTCCAGTGACCATTTAAGAGCGATATTCTTGTTTACTATAGGGCCTAGTGTCCATTTAATTCTGATATTCTTGTTTACTATAGGGCCCAGTGACCATTTAAGTATGATTTTCTTGTTTACTATAGGGCCTAGTGTCCATTTAATTCTGATATTCTTGTTTACTATAGGGCCCAGTGACCATTTAAGTATGATTTTCTTGTTTACTATAGGGCCTAGTGTCCATTTAATTCTGATATTCTTGTTTACTATAGGGCCTAGTGTCCATTTAATTCTGATATTCTTGTTTACTATAGGGCCCAGTGACCATTTAAGTATGATTTTCTTGTTTACTATAGGGCCTAGTGACCATTTAAGTCACATATTCTATTGTAATATGCATTAATGTGTCAATTTGAAGGTTATTTACAAAGAAAGTAAGAGAAAGGTAAGATGTTAGATTGACCTTTAGATGACCTCTGGTGTTTTGTGTTTTAGGATTGCTGTCTCATTGCTATACACATTACAACTCTTTTTATTCACATTTAACATATTGGGTTAAAAGGGGGGGGGGGGGGATTTGAAAGGGTTTTGTCATATCTATATCAGTGATTAACAAATCCTTAAACATTGTAGCTATTTATTTCTTCCTCATCTTAATAATGATCACATTATAGAAAAACAACAATCAATGAATCTTTATGATAATATATCTTATTTTTGATTGATTTGAAAAAGAAAGAGTGAAATGTTGAAAGAATGAATGTATCTAACATGTCTTACAATAAGACATTTCTTAAATGTAGATATCTAAATTTGGGAAATTAAAAGTTATGAGTCTTGCATTTTCTGTAAATGATTCTAATGAACGGTTCTTCACTTTTGGATAAGACACATATCACTGTTCTACTTATATGACTTATATAATCATGCATATATTCTTTGATCACCATTGGTGAAATAAAATGTAAATCAGTAAATTATAATGCTTAATTTTTGTAATTTCTTTAATGTTGCTCAAAAAGTGAAAGACACAAGCATTTCTACAAATAAGAAAGAAAATTATAATTAAATAAATATTTAGATAAAATGTGACACTTAATTATTCAGAGCATTTTAAATAATTTTTTTCAGATTTTGCTTATTCTAAAAATAAATTTCTTTCATCATATATTTTGTGTGAAGAGTACATGTATCTTCTCCCATTTTTGACTGACACTTAGAAAACATATTATTTTTGTATGTTTTCTTTTTATTAACATGCTCTTATTCTGATACCCCCCTTCTTCCCTTCTCATGCTTCTTTCTTTTATTTTTGTAGGAACCATTTTGAACCTTTAACTGCTCTGTTTGTTTAAATAAATTTCCAACTTATTTATTTGAATGATCTGAAATAGTCCAAAGTCAAAAGTAATTTCTTCACATTTGCAAGATAAATTGTATACAACTTTGTTCTTTTGGTGTAACAGAGGTATCATTGTCAATCATACCAAATCTCCATTTTATAAATATATATAAATTTTATGTAAATATTTCATGTAGGAAAATGTCCTTGATATACATGAAACAGTAGACTAATGATACAGTTGGTAATAATTATATACTCTGAATTCATTTTATCATTTCTTGGGTATCAATTTTTGGGGTTTGAGGTGAACCATGAATGTTCAATGAAGTATAAATTTCACATAAGATTGTATGCAAACTTTGGCAAAACCACAAAATCAAGTATCAATTAAAATAGAATTTTTCTTCAATCCATAAAAAAATTGGTACCCACAAAAATAAATGAATCCACTGTATCAGATAAACAGTGCTCTCAGTACTGTTTTTCAAGATGACATTTTGTGAAAGGTCTTTGTTGATGAGCTAATATCACCTTTATACAGCATAATCTAGACATTCTTTTTGGTTCGAAAAGGGTTTTCTTTTATTCTACATTTTTTTTAGCAAACAGGAATTACCTATAAGATAAAATATAAATAAAAAACACAGATTTATTAGACTACTATATTGTAAAAAAGATATATATTCTGACAAACACTGATGTGTTTATTTGAAGTAGGAAATTGTCTTTGTATTTAAAACAGCTATATTCTATGTAATTTCTGGGTTTCTAGAAGAAAGTTTTAGGAGTATTGATTCCCAGCTGACTGAATGATATTTTGTTTCTGTACTTTCAATCAGCTTGATCAGTGATTATAATGTTTTCTTTGAAATATTTCAGCGACAGCAGGTGCTACCAGCAATACCAATACAAATTCTTCCTCAAACACTCCATCTTTTCCTGAACAAGTGATTATAATGTTTTCTTTGATTTATTTCAGCGACAGCAGGTGCTACCAGCAATACCAATACAAATTCATCCTCAAACACTCCATCTTTTCCTGAACAAGTGATTAAACCTTTAATGGATTTAGGATTTCCACGAGAGGCTGTTTTACATGAACTGACTTTGGCAAACGGCAATTCTCAACAAGCCATGGGAGCATTATTTGCTAAAAGTTTGAAAGTTCCAGATGGTCCAAAACAGTAGTTATTATCAATAAAACAACAATATTCTTTATGTAATACTTTATACAATAAAATGCCTTGTCCATCTTCTACTGAGGAAATCCTGATATTAGTCTTGTTGGTTGAGCGAAAAATCTATTTACAGTTTTTTGTCTCGCCTTGAAGGAGTCAAAAAGCAAGACATAGGTATGCTGTTGTCGGCGACGGCGGCGTCAACAATGTATTAGTTTGTGATTAGGTCTAGTTCATGGTGAACCACTAGTGGTAGGTCAATGATATTTGGTATGCAGTTGTATTAGCATTGGCACACCTCATTACCATGGAGATTATTTGGCCCCACCCCCTCAGTCAAGGTCTATTGACTTTGAAACTTTGCTTAGTTTACATGTATTAGTTTGTGATTAGGTCAGTTTATGGGGAACCACTAGTGGTAGGTCAATGATATTTGGTATGTAGTTGTATAAGCATTGGCACATCTCATTTCCATGGAGGTTATTTGGCCCCGCCCCCTCATTCATGGTCTATTGACTTTGAAACTTTTGCTTAGTTTTCATGTATTAGTGTGTGATTAGGTCAGTTTGAGGGGAACTGTTAGTGGTAGGTAAATGATAATTGGTATGCAGTTGTATAAGCATTAGCACATCTCATTTCCATGGAGAATATTTGGTCCTTACCCCTCAGTCATGGTTTATTGACTTTGAAACTTTTGCTTAGTTTACATGTATTAGTTTGTGATTAGGTCAGTTTAAGATGAACCACTAGTGTTAAGTCAATGATATTCAGTATGAAAATGTATAGGCATTTGCAAGTTTCATTTCCATGGAGATTATATAGCCCCACCCCTGATCATGGTTCATTGACTTTGAAACTTTTACATAGTTTACAAGTTAATGTTTGTGTTTAGGTTTGTTTAAAGGGAACGACTTATAAGTCAATGGTATTTGGTATGCAGTTGTATTAGCATTGGCACATCTCATTCCATGGAAATTGTTTAGCCATGTACCTTCAGTCATGGTTCATTGACTTTGAATATTTGCATAACTTACATGTTAAAGTATTGCTATTTTGATTTCAACATTTGCATTATCAAAATTACAAAAAGGCGAGACATATCTCTGTGATAACAGTTTATTTATATAACTTTTTATATTTGATTTTCCAATTTTTGTCTAGCCTGTCGCAGTATGCGAGACATAGGGATTATTATTGTGGGGGCAGTGTAAATTATTTGTATAAAGCTTTATATTTCAGAAGGTAGAAAACCTTGATGCTTCATACCTTACATATAGATACCTTATGATACAAAGTTTCCGTCTGTCATATGTCCATTGACTTTGATCTCATTTCGTAGTTCAGCTTTTGCTTGAAAAAAAAGAAGATTGTTTTTGTCTAGTGAAATACTCACTTGTTATGAGTAAAAGGATAACTATATTTGGTATATGGTTTCCTTGCAATGTCTACATTTCTTTCAGGTAGGGTTCACCTGACCTCCTTTCATGGATCAGAGATCAAGGTTAAAGTTACATGGTCAAGGCTGTATCTCAGATACTTTAAGCATTGGGTCAACTATATGTGGTGTATGGAATTATTGTAAGGTGTACATGTCAGTCTGTCAGGTTTCATCTGACCTTGACCTCAATTTCATGGTTCATTGGACAATGTTTAGTTTTTGTGGTTTGGTCTATTTGTCAAATACTAATCATTTTGCTATTAGAAATATGGCTCTATATTTGGTGTATGGAATTATTTTAAGGTGTACCTGTCAGTTTGGCAGGTTTCATCTAATCTTGACCTCATTTTCATGGTTCATTGGACATTGTTAAGATTTTGTGGTTTGCATAAAAATAAGAAGATGTGGTGTAATTGCCAATAAGACAACTCTCCACCAGAGACCAAATGACATAGAAGTTAACAACTATAGGTCACTGTACAGCCTTCAACATTGAGCGAAATCCCTACAGCATAGTCAGCTATAGAAGTCCCTTAATTAACAAATGTAAAACAATTCAAACAAGAAAACTAATGGCCTAATTTATTTACAAAATGATGAACGAAAAACAAAATTGATATGTACAAACGTGCACTGAAAGGTAAATTTTAATAACTGATTCTTAAAGGGGCACTAGCGGTCAAATTCGTGTTCACCGACTTGACTTAAATTCTCATATTTGATTTATAACAGTTATAATAATAACATATTAAAATATTTATTCAAATTATAAAAAGTCTAAAATAAACAATTTACAAGGCATGGGCTAGATAATATGTCTCATTGTTATTTTAGTCTAGACGCCATCTAACTATTGAGTTGAACTCCGAATACTGCCCATGGTCATATAAGTGATATAAACATAAATATAGATATAAATAGATAGCGAACTTGTGCAATTGGATTTTTCTAGGTCTGTTTATTTTCATATTATAGGTTAAAAATATATTTTAATCATCGCTTTTACCTGTATAACAATGAGTTTTTGTGGATCGAATCAGTCAATCAAATGATTTTACTTAATTTCACTTTCAATGTTGACATTATTTTCCTTTAAATAACCGAACACGCACAATTTGTGCGTTATCCATCCCTAACTAAGGGGTTAAATTGAAGTTCACATGAATACGGATTGAACAAGGTCCAATTATTCACTTGCAAGTGAATAATTCATCATCGATTATTAGCTTATTTTGACAAAATTGAACCATACTGGCTGCAAAAAGCGAATTATTATTTCACTATTTCACTTTCATTAATGATTGAACAAAAGAAAAATCAAATTTTAAATTTTTGATATATCTCGTAGCTAGTACCTAATTGAATACTGTAAATTCAGAAACTATTGCAATTTTTTATTCTTGCGAAAAATGCAACAGGGTTATAATAGCAATCATGAAAACTTGCATTTTGAAATTTTTTATATGAATTAAACAGGATTTTTCTCAATATCGCAAAAATTAAAATCGCATTTTAGTCTGAAATGACAAAATCGCAATAATTCTTAATTTACAGTACTCCAAATAATTTAACAACTGTAGAGGAAAAGTTAAATTAACAAATGGGATTGCATGGATAATAAAAACAATATATATCATGGCTTTAACAATTTACTTATTTTTCATGTGTTGCACATTCTCTGTGTTGATTGTTTATCAATGTCACGATCCGGTAAACTTCTGCAACAAACTGGGGTTAGTCAGAAGTTAATTGACTTGCAATCAACAATCCCTCAATGAAATATTATTTGTCAATATTACATTATAGTTTAGTAATTAATGTAAAAAAATATGCATACAGGACTTAGTTGAGTGTATATGCGTGCTTTAGTTCAATAATTTCGATAACATTATCATTACAAGAAACTCATTTATATGACTTTAAAGGGGCATTAGCTGTCAAAATCATGTTCACCGATTTGACTCATATTCTCTTATTTGATTTATAACATACTAAAACGTATATCCATGATATAAAAAGTCTAAAATAAACAATTTACAATGCATTGGCTTTATAATATGTATCAGCATTTTTATGTGTATTTTAGTCTAGACGCAATCTAATTAACCATGGAGGTGTCCTCGGAAGACTGCAGACGGTCATATAACCTGATGTAAACATAAATATAGATATAGATTGATATCGAACTCGTGAAATTGGATTTTTCTAGGTTTGTTTGATTTCATATTATAGATTACAAATATATCCTAATCATCGTGTTTAACTTTATAAGAATGAGTTGTTGTGGATTGAATCAGTCAATCAAATCATGGTTTACCCTTGTTCCACTTTCAATGTTGACATTCTTTTCCTTTTAATAACTGTACATGTCTAATTCATACATAACCCAACTCTAGCTAAGGGGTTAAATTGAAAGTCACATGAATACAAATTTATTGAGGTTGAAATTGACAAATTATTCACTTGCAAGTGAATAATTTATTAGCGAAGTTTCTTCGCTTATTTTGACAAAATTGAGTCAAACTGGCTGCTAAAAGCGAATTGTTATTTCACTATTTCTCTTTGATTAAAGATTGAACAAAAAATAAATATCATCTTAAGAGAATTTTGAATAATTCTTAACATTCTGTATTTTACTGATAAATGGGCCTACTTTTTTAAGTCAACATTACACTTTTACACTGACAGCAGCAATCGTAGGCGAGACGCAGGGTCCCGGGGAACCCCTTACAAATATTTAATCTAAATTGAAGTCTTTGATCATACTGGTTGGAACTCAAAGATTTCTCTTACTACTATAAGACTACATAATTATTTTCATGTAGTTAATATTTTGGAAAAACCTAAAAATTGTGCTAGAAAAAATTTGTTAAAACCCTGATGTTTTCCTTTCGTTAGATGTGTTTGAGCTTTTGATTTTGCCATTTGATAAAGGACTTTCCGATTTGAATTTTCCTTCGAGTCCGATTGTTTTGTTTATTTACTGGGAATTGTTTTGGTTTTGTCAACAGAAATATACCCATCAGTCAATTGGAGCATGGTTTGGCCTTGATAAAATAAGTAATTTTTATAAAATATATTTCACAATATATCAAAATACATGTAAAATGACAAAATGTATAAAAACAGCATCTGCAATTAATATATATAAACACAATCAATTGAGGAAGTACCGGGAAAATATAAAATTGAAATAAACTATGTGTTTACTACATCTTTTTGTCTCGCCTTGACGGAGTCAAAAAGCGAGACATAGATATGCTGTTTCCGGCGGCGGCATCAACAATGTATTAGTTTGTGATTAGGTCTAGTTCATGGTGAACCACTAGTGGTAGGTCAATGATATTTGGTATGCAGTTGTATTAGCATTGGCACATCTCATTACCAAGGAGATTATTTGGCACCATCCCCTCAGTCAAGGTCTATTGACTTTGAAACTTTGCTTAGTTTACATGTATTAGTTTGTGATTAGGTCAGTTTATGGGGAACCACTAGTGGTAGGTCAATGATATTTTGTATGCAGTTGTATTAGCATTGGCACATCTCATTACCATGTATATTATTTGGCACCACCCCCTCAGTCAAGGTCTATTGACTTTGAA